TTTTTGTACATTACGCTACTTATGCTACTATATGTTCAATCATGACTTTAATGAGTTCAACTCGTCTTTATATATCTTTTCAAGTTATTGTTTCATATTAAATGTATGATTCAGCTTTAGCCAGTGATAGTAGGACGTTAAAGGTTGCTTGCACATTCCATAGTTACAGGTTTTTGTTTTTTGAACATTTGTATGGATTTAATCTTTCTTTATTTTGTGTCATAAAATCATGATTTATATAATAGTGGTAACAGTAAAATAACATTTTGTTTAACAAGTATTATATATAGACTTAAAACTAATAAAAGTAAAAGTGTTCAAGTCTAACGAATCTTATAAAATAATTGCCCAAATAGTTGGATTCTGGAAGTAATATAATGTTATTTCATTTTACCGACGTAAAGCAATATGTTACATAAAGGTCCAAGGTGGAATAGCACTGCAATCTTTATTGTTTCCGACGAGAGTGCTCTTTGCAATAACTTTACCGTTTAACAACAATTTGTCTGATATATTTGTATTTTTAAGTGTTCAATTTACGCATACTACTAAAATGATTATCTGATCGTAGGGACACTTTGGACATCAGATTTTGTGTATATCATCATTGGAATCATTTTTATACTGAGATAAAATTATTGTAATAGTTATAAGTGTATTTACATCTTTAAGTATATTCTAGCATTTTTGTTGTGCATGAAAGCTCATATTATATTGTTCTATCATTGCCTCCGAGGGATTATATCCTTTTTTACGTACCATGCCCTTTCTGTTAAGGTTAAACACACACTGACTTAAAACGTTTGAAGGTTGTTGACTTCAAACCACTTGCCCCTAATTGCTGTGGGTTCGAATCTCGACAGGGACTTTGGATTCTTTCATGTGAGGAAGCTATCTAGCTTACGGAACGTCGGTCGTTCTACTCGGCTGCCCGTTCGTGCCTGATATAATGCACGGAAGGCACCTGAGGTCTTCCTCCACCAGTTAAGCTAAAACGTCGCCATATTACCTATACTGTGTCGGTGTGACGTGAAATCCAAATAAACAAACAAACAAAACGTTTGAATAAAGTGGGGTTTTTTGTTGTTTTTTATAATGATAACGTATAATGCAGTTTATATATCTAAAGGAAAATGACGAGTTTGTTTCATTTGAATATTACATGTAACACAATATCTCATGGAATTTATTTTTCCCCAGGTTGTACCTGCATAAGACATAATTTTGGATACGACAAACCTGCCACAAATGAACAACATTTAAATAACTAGAACTCCGCAAGTCGGATGTGTCGCCTTGAGAACAATATAGTTTAGGAGAAATGGCCAGGACAAAAATGAAATACGAAAAATAACAAAGGGCAATAGCTAAAAAAATAATAAGTGCAGAGCAGAAGTTTTATGCATTGCACTTCTTATCAATAAGATCTATCATTCTATGAAGTTTCAAGTCCATATCTTTTATAATTTATGAGAAATGACCTGGACAAAAAAAATGAAAATATATAAAGGGTAATAACTCAAAAATAAGAAATGCAGAGTATCGGTTCTTGTACACTGCACTTTTTCTTAATGAGATCTATCATCCTAAGAAGTTTCATGTCTATATCTTTCATACTTGACGAGAAATGACCTGGTTAAATGAAATACGAAAACTAACAAAGGTCAATAGCTAAAAAGATAATAAGTGAAGAGCAGCAGTTTCTATGCACTGCACTTCTTATCAATAAGATCTATCATTCTATGAAGTTTCAAGTCCATATCTTTTATAATTTATGAGAAATGGCCTGGACAAAAATAAAATATAAAAATATATAAAGGGTAGTAACTCAAAAATAAGAAATGCAAAGTACCGGTTCTTGTACACTGCACTTTTTCTTAATGAGATCTATCATCCTAAGAAGTTTCATGTCTATAGCTTTCATACTTGAGGAGAAATGACCTGGTTAAAATAAAGTACGAAAATTAAGAAAGGGCAATAACTCAAAAAATAAGAAATGCAGGGTACCGGTTCTTGTGCACTGCACTTCTTCTTAATGATCTCTATCATCCTATGAAGTTTCAAGTCCATAGCTTATATACTTTCGGAGAAATGGCCCGGACAAAAATAAAGTATGAAAATTAACAAAGGGCAATAACTCAAAAATTAAGAAATGCAGAGTACCTGTTCCTGTGCACTGCACTTCTTCTTAATGAGATCTATCATCCTATGAAGTTTCAAGTCCATAGCTGTTATACATTAGGAGAAATGGCCCGGACAAAAATAAAGTATGAAAATTAACAAAGGGAAATAACTCAAAAATTAGGAAATGCAGAGTACCGATTCTTGTGCACTGCACTTCTTCTTAATGAGATCTATCATCATATGAAGTTTCATGTCCATAGCTTTTATAGTTGAAGAGAAATGGTCCGGACAAAATTAAAGTATGAAAATTTACAAAGGGCAATAACTCAAAAATTAAAAAGTGCAGAGTACCGGTCCTTGTGCACTGCACTTTGTGTTATTGAAAGAAGCATGCATACCAAGTTTGAAGTCAATCCAACTTAAAGTGACTGAGTTATGCTCTGGACAAGCTTTAGGGGACGCCGACGCCGATGCCGACACCGACGCCGCCGACGCCGCCGACAAAAGTAATCCCTATATGTCGCCTTTTCAAGGCGACACAAAAATACCAATGATTTATTTCATTTATAAATACAGGCAAGTTGTATTTAACATTTAACAAATATGCTTCCGATAGAATGGCAATTGACCGCCTCCGTGGTCGAGGGGTTAGAGTCGATGACTTCTAATCCAGTTACCTCTCTGGCGTGGGTTCGATCCCCGGGAGATGCTTTGGTAGTTTAGCGCGGAGGAAGGTAGTCTAGTACTGGTGTAACTCTCCAGGAACGATGGTTAGGAAACTACCCGCCTATATGACTGAAATACTGTTAAAAAAAGGCGTAAAATGAAGCAAACAAACAAACAAACAAAGAATGGCAATTACAATGCGTGTTTAAAGAACATTGAGAAAGCTAGTTCTAGCAGGTGATTATACAGTAAAAAAATCTTCGAAAAATGTCATGATCCGATAAAAAATTAACATTTAATAAACAATCATCCCAGGTTAGAACAGAACAGAACAGAACAGAAATTTTATTTCGTAACGTATACAATACAGTATCTTGTTACATTACATATATCAAATATTATAAATAGATAAACACATGATATAATTCAAAGATTTACAGTATATTGGAGAATGAACATATATTGCTGCGAAAAAATTGATTTTGTATTAAATAAATGTATATCAGAATAATCTCATTTTTAATATCAGAAAAATCTCATTTTAATATTAAAATTACTAGCGAAATCTAAACGTTTACAATATCTATGAAAATAATAACAACATTTTAACATTACATTTATGTATAACCTAAGCTTATCAACATATCTTTTCTTTTACTATTTGCATAATAAATAAATTTACATAAATTTAATAATATAGACTTTTCACATGACTGAAGTAATTCTATGAATTTAAACATGCTAGGTTTTTTATAATAATATCTTTTAATGAATTTAGTGCGTATTTCCTGGTACACATTACAAACAAGTATAAAATGAAATTCGTCTTCGACATCTTGTGTATTACAAAGTTGACATATGCGCTCATGTCTTTCAAGTCTGTTTCTACCATATCTACCAGATTCTATTCTTAAATTATGCGCAGATATTCTGAGACGGGCTAATTGTTGTCTTGATTTCATACACTTAATTTTATCTAAATAGCATTCCATAGAAAAATTATCCTTGATATGTCTATACAATGTATTTAAAACGTTATTATTAACAATATCTGAAAACCATTTTTGTTTAAAAACATCAATGACTCTTTGTTTAAAAATATTAACAAATTCTTTTGGATTATAAAGTTCAGGACAATTCCACACCTCAGAAAAACCAAATTCATCTAAAATTCCTTTTACTTTATATGCCCAGTTTTTTACTCCTTTTTTACACTGATTTAATGCATTTATATACACACATTTAACAATGATATTGCTTGAATGTATCACTTTAAACCAATATTTTATTATGTGAACATATCTATTTACATAAAGTGGGTATCTTCCTAGCTCACCATAAATTGCTGCATTACAAGAGCTTATTTTCACACCAAGAATTAACTTGCAAAATTTCAAGTGTAATCTCTCTATATCTTTAGATTTTGTAAATCCCCAGACTGGACAAGCATAATTTATGATAGAGCCGACAAAAGCATCAAATAATTGTAAGGAAACAGAAGGGGAAATTTCATACTTGTTAATATTACATATTAAAACATTCATTGCTTTCAAAGCTTTACCTATAAGATATTGATTATGAAGTACAAAGGACCCAGTGTAATTAAATACTACACCTAAATAATTAAAATCGTCAACGATTTCCAAAGCTTCATTATTATAAAACCAACGTTCATGAGGAAGTACTGGTCCTCTATTCCGAAAAACAACTATTTTAGTTTTGGCGGTATTTACCTCTAGGCCCCATAGATTACAGTATTCAAATAAAGAGTTTAGTCTTTGCTGTAAATCCTCTTGCGAGTTACCAATTATTACCATATCATCAGCGAATAACAATATTACTATACATATTTCAAATATATTCAATCCACAATCGACAGAGTTTTGTAAAAATAATTCTAGGTCTTCTAAAAATAGTGCAAACATGGCGGGCGAATTATTTTGGCCTTGTCGTAGCCCAACCGATAAATTGAAAAACTCTGAAAATGTATTGCAATGTTTAACACACGACTTAACAATTGAATACATTGATTTAAAAGTTCTAAGTAACTTCCCATCTAATCCCATATTAAACAATTTATACCATAATGCATTGCGGTTCACAGAGTCAAACGCCTTTCTTAAGTCGATAAAAGCACAAGGTAATCGCATTTTTTGAGTTAACATATGGTTTATTAAATTGTGTAACACGAAAATTGCATCTACTGTACTTCACCCCTTTCTGAAACCAAATTGAGCGTCTGACAAAATGTTATTCTCATCAAACCATTTTTCCACTCTATTTGTCAAGATACTTATAAACAATTTCCCAAAGTTACTTAGTAATGTGATGCCGCGATAATTATTAACATTAGTATGATCACCTTTTTTATGAAGAGGTATAATAAAGCCTTCAGACCATATTTCTGGAAAATAGCCCGCATCAAAAACTCTGTTAAAAAGATCAGTGATATGGCCTACTAATATATCAATAGAAAATATAAAGTATTCGTTCAATAAGTCATCACTTGGACAAGACGCTTTGTTGCGGTTTAATCGCTTCACCGCATCTCTAACTTCTTCGCAAGATATGGGTATATTGAGCTCTTCGAAAGTAGGGTTACTAATATTAGGATCAATATTATCATTTGAAATATTTGCATCAAAATTAGTTGTAGCCCTTATTTCTTCAAACATATTTGCAAAATAATTTTGGAAATCTAAAATAGGTATATCCGAACTTTGTGATACATTTCGTTTTTTGAAATGTTTCCAAAACTCTCTTGGTTTACTAGTTTTCAATTCAGACAATTCTTGTGCCCTTTTAAGTCTATATTGTCGTTTCTTTTTACGAACAATGTTTTTAAACTCTTTTTTCAAGTCACATAGAATATGCCTGTTAGTTTCGTTTTTATAATTATTAAAAATCGACAAAGCATTAAGATAATTATGCTTTTTTTCGTAGCATTCTTCATCAAACCAAGAACAATCAGAGTTTCCACCCTTTTTTCTACCTTTTCGCTTAAAAAGAGGCTCGGCTACATCTTGAATGATCTTTGAAAACTTTAAAACAATATTTTCAATGTCGCTCGAAGAAGAACTCTCAAAAATATCGTTTAAATCAGTCATTCTTCCTAATAAACCCCTTCTAAATTTATCTTTGTCAGCATCACGCCATTTAAAATATGTACTCTGACTTTCTAAATTTCTTGGATTAGATTTAGTATCTAAGTATTTAACGGTAAACGAAAGTGGTGCATGATCACTAAATTCATTAAATTGACATATTTCGAATTCACTTATAATCTGAAAATTGCACTCTTTCAATAATAAATAGTCAATTGTACTGTTTGACTGACGGCTATAATACGTAAATGCCCCCACGTTACAATCTTTACCTAAACGACCGTTAGCTAATCTCATACAAGTAGTTTTACAAAAATCAAGGATCTTTTCACCTCTCGTGTTAACAATAGGATCGGAAGAGGCCCTGCATAATGGTGCATCTGGAAAATAATCGTCAGAATCGATATATTTTACATTATTATCACATACTATAAAATCTGATTTATTGCCTACTCTCCCATTCCAGTCACCTACTAATAACACTTTACCTAGGTCTTCAAAATAAAAAACATCATTAGTTAACATTTCAAATAAGTCTACATTTTCAATACTCGCAATAGGCGAGTCATCAAACCACATATAAACTCCACATAAATATATATCAGTCATTGTCTTAAAAAACTCACTGTCCAGTTTCATCCATATAATTGTGTCACAATGGTTTCTTACAATAGTTACTCCGTTTTTAATATTGTTTTTTACATATATAACAATTCCACCGCTGTTTCTTTTAGCCCTTTTATGTTTAAATTTTCTATAAAAATTAAAGCATGTATAACCATTAATTTCAATATTAGAATTTTCATCAGTCCAGGATTCAGTAAGAATACATATATCATTTTCCGAAATTTTAGAAATAAAGTCTTTATTTTTTAATTTAGCGTCACTTAAACCATTGCAATTCCATGCTAAGACTTTCAGCTCACTCTCCGGTAATTCCTAGGCTGACTTGTCTGGTTTACCATCGACGAACAGCGTGTCGTAGGCAATCCATGCTGTTTTGTTTTCCTCTCGGGTTAGAGCGTCAGACACCATAAATTCGACACCACTGCTCCCGTTTACTTTAATTATATAATATCATTGTAAAATTTTATTTCATAATATTCAAACCGGGATATTGGCACAATTTGCAACAACCTTACATTGAATATAAACACGCACCTTTAATATATATGCTTCTGTTAGACTTGAAATTGAATGCGTGTTTTAAGTCCATTGAAAATGGTAGTACTCGTAGGTTATCACAGATTTTTATTGAACATCAATGCCAGTCTAGACTTGCAAGTACGGTAAAATAATCATTAACATGTGTGATGATCAGGCAAAGTTTTATACAATCATCTCTGGGGGCGACAGTTACAATAACTTCTACGCCACCGATCCCGTTTGCAAAACATTTTTTTAAATGTTTAACCGAAGTATTGGCAATATTTACTTAAAATATGATAAGTTATTTCATTAAATGTAATAAATCTAAACTTGACGGTAAAAGGAATGTAATGTTAGGATAATGATAAGGAAACGGTTAATATATCAATCTTAAGTATTTTCTATTATCAATTATCTAATTCAGAAAAAAATGAATAAAATATAATCCGTTCTACCATTGAAATGATGTTTTGATAAAATCACTACCGTCTTTATAACTGGTAAAACCTTATTTTATGAGACAAATTATAGTTAATCGTTTATTTTGTGGCGAACAGCACTCTCGTCGATTATAGCAAAGAAAATAATGTTATATTATGTTATATCAAAAAAGGTATAAATTCCAATTTAAGTGAAGCTTTATTACTCAATGGTAAATAATAACGTTTAAATAAAATGCATTATTTCTCACATAAAACAAATATGTGTTCAGAAATAATATTTGTTTAATGTTCCTAGCCTTAGAAATCTAATGTGAACACATCAGAACGAATTGTCAGTTTTAGAATAACTACATGTATAACATTGCGTTTCATTTTTAATACCATTATTTACTTGTTTATGATAATTGCTTTCTTATGAAACAGTTTTTGGTATTACATTTATTTAGTAATTTTATGAAAAATGATAAACATGGAAATATTTACGGAGAGATTTTTGTCCTTATATTATTATTTCTGTGGGTCTTTTTAACTTTTTTAAAACTACATTTGATTTGAATTTGTGACTTGAGCAATATTGATGTTTTAATTTGTTTTGTTTTTTCTTTTCAATATTGCATCATTTATTTGGTTATACTGTACAGTACTTTTGAACGTGTCAATGTGCATGAAAAAGTGCTTAAAAAGTTTGGTATATAATAATGATAATGATTATAAAAAAATAATAAAAAAACAACATCTTACTAAGTTTCATTCCAGTCCAAATTACCAGTATTATGGTAACAAAAACATTGTAACTTTATACCGGGAATAAAACAACTCATTTTTGTTTCATTTCAAAATAATACACGCAAATAAAATTTAATGATAAAAAAACTGAATATCATAATTTTCAGCTCTGGCAGTTTGTTTTTATATGAATCACAATCACAAAAAATTAATAATATCATATCAAATTTGTTACAAGTCGAAAACATACGATGCCTCTACATTTCTTATTTTCATGGCAATTCAAACATGAAATTATTAATTATTCGAACATTTGCAGTTTATGAAAGATTGTCTTTGAAAAGAAGACATTTAAATATGAAAAAAGTTCCATGATAAAAAATTCTAAATATTGATATATAATTTAGGCTATCTGATTTGTGTTCCTTCATAACTGTAAGATAACTTCAAGTATTTTATTATCTTGGCTAAATCAGTAGTTTAATAGTGGAGTACATTTTCAATTACATAAAAATCAGATATTCTCATTTAACTCATAAATAGAATCTGTAATTTCATATTCATAGACTTATATACATTCACGGTTTTGATGATATAAATCTCAAAGAATGCTCTTAAAGAATCATAACACGTTTAGAAAAAAGCTATATCTAAAATTTTAATACAAAGTTGTAAACAACGACCATATGGTATCTCGGAACAAATTTATATTTCTTTAATTGGTACTTGGCTCCCATATGATATACTTCGCATAAATTCTAATTTTCCCCGGTAAAATAAACATATCACAACATCGTGTGCATACTAAAATAGACATCTTTGCGTGAGCAATTATTGTATGTATATTGTAAATGTCAAGCAGATGTTGATATAATTGAAGATCAATATCTAACGAATTATCCTTGCATTGGACATAAATACATTTAATGTAAACCAGGATTAACTTTCTTTCTTTTGAAAACCATATTGTTTAAATATAATAATAAAACTGCTTGATTCTAGTGCTGGTTGAGAGATGTTTGCACTTAATATGAACAGACTCACTAAAACCGAAACTACAATTTTCATATAATGTTTTCACAGCTATAACATACAGTGGTCGGTTTCTTGACAAAGTATGTTTGGTATAATAGTAAAGAATTTAATTTTGCGAAACGCTTGATGGTTTAAATAGTTGTATATTGATTATTGTAACATACCTAACAGGAACATATTCGTTTGAACAACAAATATTGCCATTTGTACTGACTTATGCATAATTTTATATACAGTTTTAACGTTAATTTATCGGTCTTAATTTAAGTGAGTACAGACTCCGTTTTAATTGACTATGAAATGGAAGCTTTCATAAATATAACAGTTCTTAAGTTTAATAGATTATACCAATAACATGTGACGCCTCACTCGCATTCTAACGAGTTAAAAGGTTCCTAAATAAAAAACTTTAAGGACTTAATTGCCGCTAACGTTGTTGCCATTGCTGCATAAATAAGACACTATCTTAAACAAATATGTATGACAATGATTACTTGATGATTAATGTAACACTGCAAATATCAAACCCGTCTGCATAAACGTCCGTCAACTAAATGAATAATCATTATTATATTATATAAAATAGCTGCAATCTCATTGTTGCAAACAGTAGTCAACAGAACCAATCATAAAATTATATTAACTGGGTGTAGTATCATATTCATTTGCCCAATCTAAAAATAGAATTAGACTCACACTCAATAATTATACAGCAAAGACAATTAACTGCTCATGCGTAACTAATATTTACTGAGTGAATATGATCTACGCATGCGCAGTTATGACTAGATGTTGTATCATATTTACTTGCTGAATTTTTTCTATCTACTCGTAAAATAAAATCAGACTCATATTCATTTACCGTACAGAATAGACTATTTAAAATTGTTGCATTTTAGTCTTTATGCCATATTTCTCAATTAAAAAAACTATTTTACTCCACAATAATACAAGTAGATAAAAGTTAGACCGCAATGATGAGTACATTGAAAGCTTGTTTTTAATATAAGGCTTTACTGTGTGTTTGTTGTTGCTTTTTGCCTCGGTCAATATAACATTTACCTGAGAATATAACTGTTATAATTTACATCATATTCAATTGCTTACTAGTCAATAATTGTATAATTTGTCATGCTTTGATTAAATAATTATGTTCTCTATTGGCTGTAAGGTAAATGGTCAATAATTAAATTCTGCCAAAAATGAATCCTATATATGAAACTTAGAAACCTTGCATGTTTACAATATATATATATCGTATATGTCTGACATGATGATTGATAACTTTTTCTTATACCTCTGCACTATTATTCCTCAATTTCTAGACCATAAAAACACTTTTGATGCTTTTTAATATCTTTATTTCTTTCAGCATGAGTGATAAACTTATGATGAGCGATTGCATTGTCAGATGTGCCACAAATGATGTTATGGTAAGGTTGAAACACTACAAACATATCAATCATTCTATTTTAATGTCAAAACATTGTCAAACGAACTGAGGTGAACCAAAATCACCTTATAATTGAACAGTCATTTTAATTAAATTCAGTCAGTTTAATAGTCTTTCGTTCTCGTTCTTTGGTCTTTATTGTTTTCAATGAAATAAATGTTTGTCATGAAAATTGAATACATTTATTTTAGAACTATATTCTAAAGTTGTCACGATTACTCGTTCAAAGTCAATAGAGTTGAGTTCTGTTAAAACTTACCACTTATTCCCTTCGAATATTAATAAAAAATACGGTATAAAGTACAATTATATAGTAATGCATATTTACTGAATTCATTTAAGGAAAGTTGACTTAAATATCATTCAATTTCTGTATTATAATCTACATGGGCTTTTATTGAATATTGTCAACATTGTAATTGTACATTTGATACATTGTCAAGCGAAAACAATTAAATTCAATATCTATTTGGCATAATATTTATCAGAATTCATTTTATGACAGTGCCCATGTCATAAAATAGAGGAGAAATTAATAAAATTAAGAACATGACTCCCTGAAGAACGCCCCCCCCCCCAAAAAAAAAATGTTGCAGGCTCGGTTTAATTTATCCTGTTTATGGACGGTACTGGAAAGTGCAAGTTTTCGTCCACGCTCCATATTTATCAAAGTTGGTACCTTAATTTATAGTCTTATTGTTTGTGGCATTTGGTGTTTTGATATTTAAAAATATCTTGCATATTTTAAAATAAACTTACCGAATACGTGCATATCTAATTCTATTGTTTGATTATATGTCAAA